AATCGTTGAATCAAAACAGTGGTCACAATAAAAGATAAAACCATAGAAAGCCACACATCATAACCAAAAGGAGTGAATATAATCCAAGTCCTGGCCTTAAGACCGGGTTTCGTTGTGACAAAAGTTAAGGGAACTGTTATATAGGGTTTCGTGAAGTCAATGGCAGCAAATCGTTGAGTATTTAACGTTATGACACAAATGCCTATATCGACAGTCTTTAAGGATATATTAAAATTATTAATAATAAATTATTTCAAACAATAAGACCTTATTATAGAGATATCCAACACTTCCCATCCAAACCCCGTTTTGAAAAGTACCCCAACTTTGGTTCGCGTAAACGACTTCATACTTAAAATTGAATTGTTTTGCCATCAGTTCAATCATTTTATACTCAATCGTGTCTTTCATTGTATATTTTCCATCTTTAAATTCTAAGTCACAATACGGCAGATCCTAATCAATAAATAATTTACATAGTTTTGTAACAATCATTTATTTAATTTATATAAATTTGTATTTAATACTCACGACATTTACCACAACTTTTAATTGAGTTCCGTTTAGATTACAAGTGTTTGAAGTCATCATCTCTTTGGCGTTGGGATCCGTTGAATACAATATCCCATTATATGAATGGCAACCATTGATGACGGGTCTAATGTAAGCCACAGTCACTTCATTTAAATCTTTTTCATATCTGATTACAAGACATCGAAATTCATTGTATCGATGGAATAGTTTAGTCTCTAATTCTTTAACTAATTGTTTGTTTGATACAATTATAAAATCAGCATTTATTGAGAATCGTCTGTAAAATAAACTGCTGTTCATTTCATTAAATTCCTGTTCGCTATTGACCTCAAGAATCACATTAATATTGATTTCTTTTGCAAAATTAATATCAGAATATTCTATATATAATTCGTTTAAGTCTCTGATATAAAACAAACATTTATTTTCAATGAAATATTTATTAATAAGTGAGTTATTAACAAATTGAGTGAACAGAATATTCTTAGGATTAGAATTGAGACAAATTTCATTAAGAAATGCATAGAAATTATTGTCAATAAATATTGTAAGAATTGATTTTAATAAAATATTTATAACAAAAAGTATTATAACATTTTTGTGAATAAATTTCATATTAAATTACAAACTATTCGGTAAAAGATTGATCATAAATGTTTAAAAAATGCTTAATCTGATTACAAACTTATTGTTAACAATGTTAACTTAACATAATAAACTATGTAAAACACTAAATTTATTATATTTTATAATTATCTATTAATAACTAATCAAATAAATATTGTTTTTTAAATAATTTTTTATCCAATAAAGTAATGGAAATGTACACACATTTACAAAATACAATATAAAATTATTTACCCATTTCTACATTTATTCGATCAAAAGTGAATAAAATGTGTTATAATTGTTGTGAAATCCTAATAATTATTGGTTTGCATTGACTTTAAATATACATTCGTATAGGAATTCAAATTATAGGTTTGATATAAAAAGGCTATCATTTCTAACAACTCGTGTTTATAAAAATTTCATTAAGAAATGCATAGAAATTATTGTCAATAAATATTGTAAGAATTGATTTTAATAAAATATTTATAACAAAAAGTATTATAACATTTTTGTGAATAAATTTCATATTAAATTACAAACTATTCGGTAAAAGATTGATCATAAATGTTAAAAAAATGCTTAATCTAATTACAAACTTATTGTTAACATAATAAACTATGTAAAACACTAAATTTATTATATTTTATTCCTATCTGTTAATAACTAATCAAATAAATATTGTTTTTTAAATAATTTTTTATCCAATAAAGTAATGGAAATGTACACACACTTACAAAATACAATATAAAATTATTTACCCATTTCTACATTTATTCGATCAAAAGTGAATAAAACCACAATATTAACAACACTTTAGGATTATTAATAACCAAACGTAACTGAAATTTATATGTAAGCATATCCTTAAGTTTAATATCCAAACTATATTTTTCCGATAGTAAAGATTGTTGAGCACAAATATGCAAACATCAAAACAGAATATTTCAAACATAATATTATATTAATAGTTTGTTTTGGTTATTAATGATGTAAAGCAAGTAAAAAGTGTTATTCAGGATATAAACTCTTGTTTACTCTCTTATAAGACTATTTAAGTTTATTTTGGTTTTGTGTACAATTGAGTGTTATTTATTTGTCAGTAAATTAAAATAATACAAAGCCCCCGCACCTGGATGGATAATTCAATGCTGTCCCGCAATACACAGTCAAGGGAGAGCATTATGATACACTATAACGTCCGTATATAGTTTTAAAAATAATTTTTTAAGTTATTCATTACAAATTAAATAAATAAATGTTTAAAATAATTATAATTATTATAATAAATGTTTAAAATAAGCTCCAGTTGTTAAAACGATGAGATTAAGTTTTTTAATAAAACGTATTGTGCATTTAATAGGGAAGCTATAGTGTATTAGTCAATGCTTTGCCCTAAACGGTGTATTGCGGGACAGCATTGAATTATCCATCCAGGTGCGGGGGCTTTGTACATGAAATGTTTCTTTTGTGTTTAATGAGTAAATTTATTGCAATTTATTTATCAAATACTTTTTGGCAATTTTAATTCACATAATTTGATTTTGAAAATAACAATAATTTAGAAAAGTAGAGTAAAGTAAAATAGTTAAAAATGTATTTAAAAAATGATCTTTAAATTTAAAGTCCTAAACATGTGAAACGTTATGGCAATGAGTTGGTGGCGAAAGCGATCGGCCACGTGATCGGCCCCTTCACTATCATATCGTTTAAATCATTGCGAATACTAACAAAGCGTCGCTTGAATTCAATTCCGTCGCCCTTTGAATTGATTACAATTTATTTACTAATCTTTAAAATTTTGTGAAAGGTTTATTTATAAATGATTGAAAACATTCAGATTTCAGTTGATTCTAAACTCAGCTTAAGTACAGTTATTGTCTACGCGACTTGTGATTACCGTAACTTCTCTTATCAATCGTTGATATCGTTAACTAATAAACAAAAACAATTGGATTTATAAACATATGAATAAAGAAGAGGACAATTACCACAGGCCTGCTTCTCCAGAATATTAATATTAAAGAAAAGAGTTTTTGGGAAAAGTTAGCTAAGACACAACAGAACTTCAGTCACAATCATTTCTTAGCCCAGTAAGCGGCGTGTTCAGAAACCATATAACTCTGAGAGCTTCCAAAAGGGGTGGACAACATTTGAGTGCTGAGGAACAGGTTGTCGACCGCCGCCGGCTGTGAGAAACAGATGTGTTTGAGAGCGTCATCACTCGGAAGTCCCGTAGCAGTCATCTGAAGATTGGCCAATGCGTTGATTGGCTGTGAAGCCGACGACAACCTCCCGATTGCGTCAGCACTTGTAGTGCACTGTCTTTTGGCCTTAAATAGTGGGGAACACATCGGTTGACTGGAACTGTTGGAAAACCTCTTCTTAAACCACTGGTGAACCATTATTTGAGACAAATTGTATCGTTTGGTAACGTTTGGGCTCATTATCTTCCGAAGTAGTGCTTCATATGATAAACATTTCAATACAAATATTATTTCAAAAATACAATAAACAAAAACAATTTGAAGTCTAATATAGAAATGATGTATCGTTTGGTAACGTTTGGGCTCATTATCTTCCGAAGTAGTGCTTCATATGATAAACATTTCAATACAAATATTATTTCAAAAATACAATAAACAAAAACAATTTGAAGTCTAATATAGAAATGTGGACAAAAAAGTCACATTCAAAGACTTACAAAGAACTAGAGTATCGACTTTATTCCAGGCGTACGTTTTAAGGAGAGACTCATCCCTCCAGGCCTTATAAGACTTGCATTCGGGTGTCGGTCTATCCCACGGCAGTTCACCCGTCAATAAAGTGACCAGAATTACACCACAACTCCATCTAATATAGCATTAAATAAATATTAAATTAATGTATAGTTTGAATAGAAAGCGAATGGACGGACATGTCTGCGGGCTCTGCTCTGTACTCCTTGTGGATGAATATCTCGGGCGCCATATACGGGACGGTTCCGCACTTCTGGTTAAGAAGACGCTCTTTTCCCGAATGTCTGAATAGTGTAGACATTCCGAAGTCAGAGATCTTTATAATATCTATTCATACAAATCAATTGGTCATTAAGACTACAATTATCCATAAAATCTATTTTAAAAATTTAATTCAAACCGTTGTCATCGAGTAATATGTTTTCGGGCTTAAGATCTCTATGAACTATACCTATAAAAGAGATAATAATTCGTTAATAAAACTAACAAATAGTTTGATATATAAATTAAAGATACCCTTTGAGTGCAAGTACTCGACACCAGAGATCAGCTGAACAAAGAACCGATGGGCAGAACTTGTGTCCATTCCTACGTCCGGTTCTGATAATTATTTACAAAATTTTAATTACAAAATGAATGAATGAATTGACACAACAATTAGACGACAAACCAATTCTGTCGAAGAGCTCTCCACCGGACGCGTACTCCAAGAATATGTATTCATTGGTTTCATCGGTTCTTTGGCCGTAAAATTTGATGATATTCTCGTGTTTTAGCATCCGATGGATACAAGTCTGCGGGAAATCAACATTAAGTCAATACAATTGTCAAAAGTGTGACCAAAACGCGGACCTCTTTCTTGATTTGGTTGCGAGCGTTGGGATACTTCTGGAGATCAATCACTTTCGTGGCCACGCATTCATTGGTCTCCATATTCACCAGAAGCCGGACTCTTGAGGGGAGAGAAAGATTCGCAACAAAAGGACATTCAGTAAGAAGTGATAAACCAATGGATCAGTTGACAACTCACTCTCCATAAGCTCCCTCTCCCAACACGTTTGACAGATGCCAACCCTTGACAAACTCGATGGCCATTCAGATGGTGGTAATGGTTGATAATGGGTGTCAACTGACGGTTAATATCACACAAAACATGTGTTTAATTGAAATTAAAAGCGAGAAAAACACAAACAAAACAAAACATTTGACAATAATTTTGCCGCAAAACACATAAAACAGCAAAACATGTGACACAACAGACCCACCAATGGCTGACTCAACGCTAATCTTATCAACCAATGAGTGAACGAGAAATGAATGAAATCATCTCATTTTGAGTGAATGAATGAGCGCTTTGTTTGAAATAATTATACAAACATTGATTGAATTAATTATAAAACAAACTTCACATTTAATTTCAATCAAATTACAATCGATTTATTTAATAATTGAATTAAATATAAAAACAAGTGTTTAAAACATATTAATCTTTAAAAACAACTACTAATTACTATTTCTCATAACAACTAAAACAGATAACAATTAAATTTTGTTTTATAAATGTTTGTAAATGTAATAAAATGTTTTATACTTTTAACATATAATCTTTTGTATGAATATATAATTTATGCGAACCAAATGTTAAATTCCAATCGCTTTACACAACTCATATAATACTGTATATAATTGACATAAAAATATCTATAATTAAATGTTATTAATAGTAAAATATTATATTAATAAAATCTAAAATTTCAATTGTGACTGAAGTGACAGAACCTCCGCTGTCAGGGCTTTCTTGTCGGCCATAAGTGTCTCATTAGTGTCGGACAGCGTCCGCACCCTATCCTTCAACTCATCGATCTGTACATAAAGATCAGTCATCAAGTCTATCAAGTCGTTGAATCGGGCCCTCAAACACTTCAAATTTCGTCCCAATTTATCCGTTAGGCTATCGCCTCCTTGAGATGCGTTGCCATTGATGTCCACTTCGCCCAACATATCGGCCAAAGCCTCAGACTTTAAGGAATCGTTCACTGGTTTTGACAAAAATTAACAATTATTTAAATGAATGAATGCATAGAAAATATTGACTTACTTTTTAGTGATTAAAAGTTTGAATAATGTGTCCAATCGTTGGATTATTTCTTCTTAACTTTGATCCAAAAATTGCTGAAAACAATGCGATTAAGAGATGTGACGATTGAGACGAGTATTACTTTAACTAAAAATGTTTTAAAGGTTTTTATGAAACACTAATCGTATAATTGAAGCACTTTTTCAAACACCTAATTGTTTAATAGATTGCACTTAAATAATGGGTTGACTTTCAGTTCACTATTAAATAAACCATTAAAAAACTATTCAAACGTTAGTTCACTATTTATTAAAGTTTTCCACAAAAAAAGTTTTATTTGCATTTAAGTAGTAATGAATACTGTATTTCTTATCAACAAGTGGGGGAAATCGACACGCCCAGTAATCTTATAATGACACCATGATTCAAATATAATTTATCAAGGTTATATTCAATCATTTGACCAAATTTGAGCGCAATTTTGAATTTATAATTTTTTCTATGGGAGAGTATATGGGGGAGGGTTTTCTGTTTTGGCCATTATCTCGGAAGTTACATCATAG